TTTGAGAGGTATCTCCCCTAACTCCTTTGTCGTTAGGACCAGTCATTATCAGTCATGATCAGTCAAAGTGCGAAAGCGAAAACGGGCTTTCCAAAGGCGAAAGCGGTAGACTTGGGACTTCCAGACAAGCCAATTAGACGATTCCCAAACAACTACCAGCACCTTCCAACAGCTCTCCGGTGACTTTTGCAGACTTTAAAGACGTGAATCCGGTGGTGACCTGTTAGCGTCAGGTGCCGGGTCGACGCAGAAAAACCCACGGCGTGGTCTGATCCCGCGTGGACGTCCTCGGATCTCTCGGCGTCGGCCCGTTCGGGTCATCGACTCATGGGCACCGGTGTTCGAGTCATCGAGTCGACACCGTGGACGTGTCGCTGCACGAGTGTGACGTAAGAAGCTGAGTAGGAGTAGGAGCAAACACATGTAAGTTCATGTAAGACTGAAACTCCAAGGCATCGCAGTGCATGAAAAAAGCATCGGTGTTACAGGTAAATTCTACTGAATGAGCAGGCTTTTTCGGCATCTAGATGCTCCCTGGAATACGCATGGAAGTGCAAAACCACCTCTTTGTAGAGGAAATCTGTTCTCCAAGGGGGCCGCGCCATCCACTTCGATGACTTTTGCAGGGACTGTATGTATATACTACCACCCTTCACCCCAAAATTTGTCTGCAGCGAGCGGCCTCTTGGAACTGTTTTCGTCGCGATTGCCTTCCTTAAGGACCCTACAGGAGTACCTATAGGATAGTCTATAGGGTGCTGACCCACCTCTGCTGGTTTCACCCCTGGTCAAGCACCCCAATGATCCCCCCAAGGTGTACAGTCTCATGGAAGTCGTGTCTGAGTAGATCAGACACATCATGTCTGCGGGCAGCGGGCATGATGCGACAGGTACGATAGAGGCCGCCTGGTGAAACTCAGAAGAGGCCCTCGTGAAAGTGATGAGATCAACCCCGTGGACTCGGATTGACCTCTTTCTCAATCCGAAGGCACTTCCGAAGGCCAAAGAGGTGGTCTGGAAGTCCAAGGCCATTTTGAACATGATCTTTGGATGACCATTGGATGACCTGAAAAGACTTCTCCTTTACTGTGGCTGTGCCCAAAATCGTCATCCCACCATCTTCCGTTTCCGTCGGCTGGGGTGTCTAAAGTCATTGGCCCAGCGGCTCGAGACCTTGTGCAAGAGGTCCACCCATGCGGACATCCTGGGCCAACCCGCCATCCCCAGACGTTCGGTTGAAGAGCCCAGATAAAGCCAGGTCCTGTCAATGAACCGATCTTGGATCGTTTGCAGCATGCCCAATGAGCCGTCTTTCTGGGATGTGCGGTATGGGAAGCAAAGAAGCATCCAATTGAGAAGCTATCAACCTGGGAACATCTTGGAACTCCCAGTTGGGGGGGAGGTGAAAATGACACGAAGATAGAGGTGAAAATGACACCCGCCCAACTCAGCAACCACACCTCTTATTCCAAACGCAGCAACTCCAAGGTATGGAATAATATGGAATAACAGATATGTCTGTGTATTGACAGCTTTTCAACCCCAGCTGATCCAGTGAAGGGGTCATCCATGGTCATCCCCTGTACATTCACATCTTCCACACTGAGTGATGGAACCCAAACCATCAATGTATCAAATAGTTATACATGCATTTACCATAAAAAAAAAATATTATATATATCCATGTATGACCCTCCACATCCGCAGCTTGGCCCGAACGGCCAAAAGCTTGGCTTCCGGGTCTCGCCATTCTGAGAAACTACCATGATCGATCTCCAGTCCGAATCACAGGATCCCCACAAGTATAATAGATGCACCAACGGCACAGGTGCCTTCAGAGCAGCCGTTCTAGGTGCTCCTCGAACAACTCTCCACATCGCAGGTCAACCCCCTGTTGCACTGTTACACTATTTGTCCTTCAAGGACATGATGGAATTCGAAGTGTTTTTCACCAACAAAGCTTGAAGGCCCCTATAGCCTATCCCATACATACCCCAGGTGACAGGTCCTATGGTCCCGGTCACTGGCTACCTCTCTTGGTCACCTCTTTTCACTCCGATCTTCCACTGAATTCGCTCCAAGCGTCCACGGTCCGCTCCCGCTTTTAGCGCGTGACGGGTCCGCGAGTGGTTCCGCGGGCCCGCGCACTTCGACATCTCGAGCCGAGAGGTGGAAGCCGTTGAGCCTTTCCGTTCGAGGTGTCGAAAAGCGATTTGTTTTTCACTGGTGATGTAGCATGATGTAGCTACGACATGTCTTAAAACTACTTAAAACACTGGGTCACTTGGTATGTCACTGTTAGTTGATTTGTTGCTCATTTCTACCCAGTCTCGTTCAATGGTGGTTCCGACCTGGTCGGGGCTGCCGTGACATCCACTCAAATGTCACCACCCGGCAAACAGCCGAATTGACCTCACATGGGGCTGTCAGAGTTGACGCACAGTGGAGCTCCAACCTGCTGAGGAGGTGATTAGGTCCCCCTGGTAGCCACCCCAACTTCGAACCGGGGGTAGTTGGAGCACGTTGGAGCCCTACAAACTACAAACATGTAGACCCTCCGTGGGCGTGCCAGGGCACTGGCAGGGGTTGGTCCAGCCAGGTCAGATTGCCTGTCCCTGCGGTCTTTGTGAGTACCGGATGGCTGACTCACATAGACGAAACAATTGCAAGAATGGTGGGTGACTGAGCCTTGAAGAACGCCCTACTTCATCTCCAAGGATAGAAATGAAGTCCGAGATCAAGATCAAGATCGGAGAGGGATGATGTGTCAGATCAAATCCGGTTCACCAGGTCTATCGTCCAGGCCTCCAACGACCTCCGTTTTGGTTTGGTGGGTTTGGGTGGGTTTAGCCACCGAACCTGAGGAGATGGGCCAGGAGCGCGAGGGTATGTCGGTTGCACGAAATCACGAGACCAAAGGAGGCCAAAGGAGCTGACCACCGCCCGACCCTTTCAAGCCTAGCAGGGCCCCCGGGGCCATGGGGTGGTTTCCTGGATACCCCTTGGCCCAGAAAACCTCTAGGAGCTATAATTAGACACCCCGAGTGGCCGGGGGGCCCTGGTAGTATAGTAGATGTATAGGGGGTTCTACAAGAAACCCTTTGTGACGTTGTGTGGTTTCCTGTCGATGTTCCTTTAAACACTGAGACTCATAGATTTTGGATGTGAAAATCATGGGCGTCGTATCGCACATGTTGCTTCAAAAAACATGGCTGTGGGGGTTTCAATCCATGGGTTTCCTGGAGATGTTCTCTTTAAACCCATCCATTCTTCAAAACCTTTGAGGTGGGACGCCTGCCGAACTCAGGTACTGTACCTCTTGGAAGCGGCCGGCCCCGCCGACAGGTCAACCTCGCCGTTGGATTACTGGAGTTCAACGTGGCAAATCCTGAGTCAAAGCGCCTATATGACGGATGGTTTCAGACTCAACGCATACAACTGAACTCACTCCCAAACACGACTCAAGGGACTGGGAATACTGAACTCCGCCCCAAACAGACCCCTTCTCAACCAACCACCCCTGGCCGTTTGGAAGGCAGCTCCGGAAAACGGCAGTCCCATGAGTCGTGGCTTCACTCCCTGCCCCCCACCGGCCCCACATCGCCAGGCATCCATCGACGCCGGCTTGGGCTCCTCCGTCCAAGGCCAATGGAACATCAACCACGCCCGGAGGTTGGTTGGCCCACCTTTGGATTTCCATAGGTTGCCATCCCCTAAGAACCCAAGGTTTTGATGAGGATCTTTTCACACATTTCGGCACTAGAAGTACTAGGTCCACAGAGATCAGCAGATCCCAAAGAAGAACTTCCCCTAAAGGTGCGATCGGCTAAGACCTCGAACAAAATGCGCCTGAGTGTTCCTACAGGTCTTATAGACCTCACCCTAAAGGTACAGTATCCCAGTGGAGTCCTCTTAGGACGACAGCACCCCTTGACACCTCTCTTGGCTGGAAGATGATGGTAGATGTGCCTGGCCGGGTCATAGTATTCCAAGGGCCCAGTGGATGATGGTTCGGTTGCAGGCCCACATCTCAAAGATCATCTTTCGACTTGGTCATGGCACACAGTAGAACGCCAGTCTGCCGCGGTGCTCTGGGAGAAGCAACGCGTATGAAAACCTCTCTTCAGTGGCGCCAAGAGGGTCTCTTGGGCCCTCCGAACTGCTCTGGAAACGGACCACAGGACCCTGGAGGGGGATGGATTTGAGCATGAAGATTCCAAGCTGCCTTTCTACTCCCCTGACGAACATGAACCTTCAGACCATTTTTCTCTACAACCGAGTGGTTTTGAGAGTCCATCATCTCCAGGAGGGTAGATGGCCTGATACATCCCAGTGTTGGAGCAGAAAAAGGTACAGATTCTTGAAGTGTTCACCCTGCACCCTCCCTCCTTCCGTTTCTCATGTCATGGAGCCCGGGCACCGACGCGTGCAAAGAAACCAAACAAAAAAAAACAGTAATCAATATCATATCCCTGAAAGAGGGTTCACCCACAGGGTCCATCAACCGCCAAACGAGGTCTACGACACTTGTCGGCTCTACGCTTTCTTCAACAACTCGCCGCGGGACCTCGCGCAGGCGGACTCATCCGTTTGCCCCACGATCGCAGGTGTCTACTGCAAAACGGCTTCTTGCCGATTTGGTGGGAGGAGCTCTGAAGACCAGAGCAGCTCTGAAAACCGGACATGTGACGAAGCCCACATGGGGTTTGAAGACGCATCCTCCATGACACAGTCTACATAGTGTTGGGGGCCTTATGTTGTATATCTACCGAGATCTACGGACTGCTTACTCATTCTGTCCCTGAATCGCTTTGCTCCTGTGTTCATTCGTAGATGTGCACATCTGCTCTCAAACGCTCATCCGTAGCTTCGCCCTAGCCTTCCCAGACCATATTGAAATAGTTTGTAGTGAACATCTTTCGTCAAACAGTCAAACAGTCAGAGTCAGAGTTGTTTTGAGAAAACATATGCTTAGATCATCTTAAATCCATGGATGGTGGGGTCAGGAATCCGGAATTCAAAGCTTCAAGATGCAGCCTTCACTTCGCTGAACTTGCATTCGAAGCTCAGGACTATCAATGCACTCGTGGGCCAGGGCCCAGGCGTCTCCCTTCTTCTGGTTCACTTCAATGATGCGATCTCCTTTCCTCAGGGGTGACAAGGCGACAACGCACGCGTGCGAAGGACGAACGCCTTTGATTTCAAGACCCGAAGTTGGACTGCAGCGAAGAATCCAGCGCATAGGATATATACCAGCAGTCACATGTCGGGGTGCGATCCATGGAGGTTAAGGGTGCCCAGAACATCCACTCACTTAGGGACTAAACACCACCCCTTTGTGACTCCTGGTCTATATATATATATTGTGGTGGGTCTGAAGCAACGAGCGTGAACTGGCAATCAACTCCTGAAATCCTGATTTGTGTCCATATGCCCCAAACACTACATGGGACTGGCATATTTATCCTACAATTGTGATGCTTCTTCAGTTCGTGATCTTCTTGGAGTCCATCCAATGAGCTTTTCCTGTTTGTGACCTTTTCCAACCAGGGATCAACTTCGGTCACGGATTGAAGAACCAGGCAGGGAGTGTCTTCCAACCACCCTCCGTCCCTTGGATTTGCTTCAAAGGAATCTGGGAAAAATATTCCCCAGGTGACAGGATTGACCCAGTTCGGAAAAAATCATACCCACCAGGGGCCCTCAAAACCATGAAAAATAACGGTTTTCACATGCCAAAACCAGTTTGTTTGATAGGGAAAACCAGGTTTTTGATGGTTTGTGGGGCCCCTGGCGCATACACTCCATGTATGGAATATATAATATGCGAGTGGTAGCAATGGTAGCCTCGACGTGCCCTAGATGGAGGTCTGGATGAAGTGCCGGATCGAAATTGCGGTGGCAGCGCGACCGACAGGAATCTAAAAGCTTTCTCACCCTCGAACCCCAACTCACGTGTCACGCACTTGTTGTACGTGTATGACATGCATCACTTGCATGCCACCTACTTTCAAGGCTTAAAATTTCCTGGGATTCAGCTCTTTTCTTCTTCTATCTTTCGGGTTTCCACCGGTTCATCCAGGGGATGTTGTCCGTTCTGTCGTCGCTTGCGTGCTGACTGCATTTGCTGGTCGCTGACGATCTTCCACTGTTGGCCTCCTCGGTAAAAAAGTTCTAGTTCCTTAGCACCGCCCTTAGTCAATGCATTGCCCAGTTGGGCTTCTGAGTGAACCCACCTTAGTATGACATGGTTACGTCGCTGTGCGGACTTGACGCACAACAACTCAAGGTCAGTTCTCCGTTCGGCTCCTTTGGTACTTAACTCTTCGGTCATCAGCTTATCGAACACGTTTCTCGAATCGGAGATCAAACAGCCGTCGACACGATTCACCGTGGCATCAATGTCAAAAACATCCGTTTCCCCTAAAGTTTCCCCCAACTGGAATCGAGCATGAAACAGTAAGTCTTCCCCCGTGACCACAGCTTTAGCCTCCGCAGCTCCAGGACTGCGTGTCACTCTATCTATCTTACTAGCATGCCAACCAATTGGAGAAACACACTCCATCTTCCCTTGCAACAATCCTAAAGGTGCAATTCCTATGAAGATGCCCTGAGTGCTGCCCCCATCCGGACGGTTTTGACCTGACGCGTCGGCCCACACGAAAAGTCCAGTCTTGGTGTTTTCGGGAAAGGCATGGATCAACAATTTATTATCCTTCCTGGGCTTCGCTTTCTGTAACAAGTGGTTCACCCGGCAGATCGTTTCCACTGTGCTGGTGCTTATCTCAGATAGCATCAGTCCAACTTCTGCCGAAAAATGTGGTGCCACTTGCTGCGCATGCCAACTCAATGCTCCCAGGATTCCTCGGAGCTTTGTCTTCTCGAAATCGGTCGTAGGGAGATTCTTTTCTCTCCTTCGTGTGGCATTCAAATTCAATTCACTGACCTTATCTAAATATTGTGGTTGGGAAAGCGCAAAACCCCCTTGTGGTGTTTCTTCTATAGTCACACCACACTGTACAAATTTGCCACTCTCCCAAGTTCCCCATTTGTATTTTGTCTGGATGGCCTGCTCTATCGCTAGCCACTCTTTGTCATCTTTGGACCCTGTAAATAAAAAATCATCGACATGACCTGCGATCATTCCTCGCAGTACGCCGTTTGGTTTCCACAGCCAGCAGCATGGGTCTGCCCACGACTTGGTGAGTCCTAGCGTTCCGAATGTTTCCGAAACACTTCTATACCACTCTAGTGGGGCATCAACCAACCCGTAGCATCCTCTTTTGATTTGTACGATCTCACCTTCTTGCAACCCCATGGCGTCGGTAATCTCCTTGCAGGGTATACAGTAGAGGGGAGTAGGATACTCCCTTCCCTGTAGGAAGGCCCCTGAGACGTCCCCCTTCTTCACTGTCCATCTGTTTTGTGCTGCCAGGTGTAACAGTATTTGTCGGGTTTGTCTTGTCATCACTGGTGTCGTTGTAGCCCTGTGCTCATATCCTGGGTCTTGATAACCCTTCAAGATAGCTCTAGCTTTTGCTTTGTAGGTGCCATCGTCCTTCAACTTCCAAGTAAGAATCCATCTCATTCCGATGGCCTGTTCTGCTGGAGGTCGAAGGTGTTCAGGTAATGCCTCGAAAGCCCGTGCTGCTGTGTAGTTTGTGACCTCAACACCCTTTGCTTCCTGAAACTGTTGTCGTTCGGCTGGTGTCAAGTGCTTCTCTACAACTTCTACAGCCCGGCGTTTCAACTGTGTAGCAATGTAACCTGTCATATCTGCTAAAGCCTCTTGTTTACCCCGTCTGGACTCTGGGAAGGTGATCTCGATCTCAATTGATGCATCTTGTTCTGACCAATATTCCTCACCTTGCGTGTTGGTTTTCTTGTAGTGCTCTTCCACCTGGTTCCACCAGCTGGTTTGTAACGCACTGTCCATGTCTTGGTCAGTGTCTGGGTTCTGTGTACGGCTGGCCTTGGCCTCACCTCCTGGTCGTTCGAATGGTGACCGGGATGGATCTGGTCCTGGACTCACCGGTCGCTTCTGATTGCGTCGAACCCGGGGAGGTGGTAATCCGGCTGGTGCTGTTGGCTGCATGTCGGTGTCCTGAGCTCGGTGCCACTCCTCCAGGTCGGGTATTTCCTTAGAAATGTCCTCATACTCATTTCCTCCCAGCTCCTGGGTGATTCTCGGAAAAGTCCATGGTGCTTTCTTGTCGTCATCGGTGGTCAAATGTTCAAGGAGTTCTTCGAGATGAGATGCTGGTCTCAACTGTTCTGGACTGCACTTTAAAAGTCGTCGTCCCCTCACACACCATATTGCAGAACCTGGTCGGAGCTGTCCATCTGGTTCCCTTCGGGTCTCGGTGCATAAAATTCGGGCTGGTCCTAGGAACGCTCCGTTCTTGCCAATACCGGGTTGTTTGATCTGCTTCCTCCAAAAGTAGACTAAGTCTCCTGGTCGGTAATGGTATTCTCTTTGGGCTCGGGAGTTGACGGCCCTCTGGATGCGTTGTTTTGCTTGCCATTCGGAGAGTGCTTGCTCAGCTTGTTTCATGTGTTCGATGCTGCTTCGGAAGTCTGTTGACGGGTTTGCTAACAACTGTTCATGTAGATTCCCTGTCAGACTGTGTATGAAGCGCCCTGTTTCATCCGGTGCTTTCCCTAGGACATGTTGAACCGGAGAGAACCCTTGAAACATTTCCCTGTGGTTGCATGTACGTAGAGCTTCACTCAAGGCCTGTTCTGGTGGCAACTCCGGATCACCATCGACCAATTTGGTCATGATGGCTTTTGTGCCTCCAATGGCCTGTTCGCACACCCCCAACTGCCAGTGAGCTTCGCCGGCAATCACTTCGAGGTAAATATCCTGTTGGTCACAGAATTGCTCTACTGCATGGCTTCTAAACGCACCTGAGGGATCGAGTCTGAGGACCTGTGGAGTCCCAAAATAGGGAATCCAATGTTCTTGAAAAAACTGCACAAAATGTGCTGCGGCCACGGTTTGGTGTTTTCCACTCTTGATGATCTTTCCGACACGAAATCGACTTCCTTCGTCGATAGCCAAAAGGAAAACATATTCTTCGTGGGTCACAGGATGGGACCACTTCCCTTCATCCACACTCACCACACAAAATTTTGGGGGTAAGGGTTCCAGGCTGGCGACACGATGAGGTTTCCTTTTCTGTCGTTCTTCACACAAGGAACACCGAAATTGTTTGGCCAGCTCCACCACCCGGTCACCGGCACCCCTTCGCTGCAACGCTTGCACCAAGGATCTGGTGCTCCCATGACCTGTCGCAGCATGTAACAAGTACAGTTGTTTCTGAATCTGGTCATCGGTGAGGGAATCACGAAAAGGTTGGGTCCCATACGCTTCATGTTTGAGATCCTCAATCATGAGTTTTTCCTTTTTCCTACGCTCCAACGAACAACATCCACATTCGAGTTTCGACCCATGATGTTTCACATGCGTGCACACACAAACAGGTCCATGTCCAAATTGGATGGGTAAGGAGTCTTTTCCCCCAAGTTCTTGTTGTAAACTGTGATGATCATGTTCCAAAATCAAAAACTCCGCAACACGTTTCACATATTCCATGGTATAATAAGCCGATACGCCCGCCATGCCCCCTTCGCATCGACCGTGACGATAATTCGCACCGCATCGACATGGCATGTTCATCCCCTCCAAAAGTCTTCGGTCCGTGGAAAGGAGTTTCCATCCCTTGTGGATCAAATCTTGGGTTTTGGGACACCTCAGACCAACCCTACAACCCTGGGTCACACAAGTTCCTAAGACGTGTCTTTGTTGCAAGTCCTGCATGATTGGGAGCCTCCAACCCTGACACTTCTGGGACCACTCCCAGGTCACATGGATGCCATGTTGGATACAGTACTCATACACGCATTTAGCTCCGGTGTATTGCTGCAGTGCCACACGTCGTTTTTCGGCGAGCTGTGCGATCTGAGCTTCTGACCTTTGGTTTATAGACTGGAGTGGCGAATAAGGTCCGCAGTTGGGGGAAATCCAAACATGTTCCGGCCTGTGGGTGTCTATCGTGTTTAAAATCATGTCCACACCAGCTTGGGTACCCAGGTCACATCCGTTCCAATGCGAACACCTAATGGCCGCGTCCTCATGTCCAATCAACTTTTGTATTATGCTAGTTAACCGGCTCTCGGGGGAACAAGCAACCTCAATCAAAACAGTGCGCCTACCAACCAACTGTTTCAGAGCCCTCGGACCCAAACACCTAGATTCCTTCTCCATAAAGTGACTCATGGACTGTGAGGCAATCTGAATTGTCTCCTCAGATCTATTGTCTAAGGTTGAGACTTCTAAGGCATTGGCTCTCTCACCATGCAGAAGTCCTCGCTGTTGGTCTCCTTTTTCTTGTGGGGTCGTTCCTCTTTCAGTGCCTCCACCTCGTCCTTCAAGTCGGTCAGGGCACTCATGATCTGAGTCAACACTGGTGTCTCGGTCACTTGTTCTGGCGTGCCGCTGGATGCCGCTGACTCGGTGAGCAAGATCTTCTTCGGGGCAGCCTTCGTCTTGGGGTACCCCTTGGTCTTGGTCTCCACCGGTCCCGGTGGTGGCATCTTCTTGGGTTTTGGACTCTGTTCCTTGGCCTGTTCGAACCATCGAGCAAACCTCGACAGCCGGTCCCCTTTGTCCTCCTCGTGGAAGGTGGTCAGGGCCCAATTGCAGTAGCCGAGGTCGGTGGTCATCACCTCGTCGTAAGAGAGGCTGGCATACTTGCCGAAGCCCATCGGGTCCTGTCCGCTCAGTTCGGCAATCTGGTAGATGCGGTCCATGGCCTTCTTGTTCAACTGGGGGATGGTTTCGTTTCCACTCAGGGGTATCAGGAGTTCTTTCTGGCAAAACTCCACCAGGACACTCTTCTTGGTTCCGGCTTTGTTCAACTTCACGGTCCACTCCTGAAGGTTGGTGCGGCTGCGTCCTGTCTGGCGGACTATGCCGTGTTCCTCCTCCAGTTCCTCTAAGCGGACCCGGAGTTCTGTCATTCTCCATTTTGCTGGTGGTTCCTCCCCCAGAGCACGGATCGCCTCGATGAGTTCGGCCTTCTTCAAACTCTGGATGGTCGGCATGGTCACTAAAACTGACTCTAAGCTCAGGACGAAAAGCACGTACTAGCTCACACTCTTGATCTTTGTGGCGGCTGCCGAGCTGCTGTGTGCAAGTGCATGTTTGTGTGTTGTTCACCCTTTCCGTTCCGGCTTCTTCCCTACTACAAAAACAATCCACAGTCAAAACACCACACTTCTCACCTTGGTTGTCACCTTGAGCTGAATCCCTACTCATTCCACTTACTGATCTGCTACGGCCTCCTCCCTTTCCTCGTCAGGCGGCAAGGTCGGGAGGAGCTGTCCCTAGCGGCAAAATGCTCGCAAGCTGGGCACCGGTTTGGTGCATGGAACAGCTTCTTTGTACAGATCATCCGTCATGGACAGGAGCTGGTGTCCTGCCTGGGAGCGTTCAAGTTGGATGACCCGATCCGGGTCTATTGCCCGGAAACAAATCAGGTCTTCTTCAAAATCTATTACCGCCTTCAGTGCTCTCAGAGTGGCGATGGACAGGAGCATCGGTCCGACTCCCTTGTCTAAGGTGTGCACGGTCAGCACTCCATCTTTCTGGTTGGCCACAATCTTCATCTTGGCCGTGCTCAAACACTTCTCTCGGCTACTATTGCCGAAGCCAAAAAGGGGCTGATTGTCAGTGTCCACCTCCAGGACTCGACCGTCCTGATGTTTGCGGAGATTCTCATTCACCATGGCCTCCAGTGCATGTACTGAGGCTAGAGTTCGTGTCGCTCCGCCGTCGATGATGCCGTAGCCCATCTGAATCGCCTCCTCTGTTGTTTTCTGTCGGTTGCGGCCTGCGTCTTCTGTGGCGTAGGCCTCTTCGGTGTACCAGCTTGACTGCTGGTGGATCTCCGTGTCATCCCCCGTTGTGGTGCTCTTCTCGATCTCCTGAAGGTCACCCTCGTGGTTCTTTACCTCATAGTCCCAGTCATCTACTCCTTCATCGGCTGTGAAGTAGCCGTCTTCATTCTCCTTCATGTGGTGGTCTGAGAAGCAGACAAAAGGGGCTTCTTCTTGGGCCTGATGTGCCTGTTCTCGTCTTGGGGCCTGACGGTCAGGGCACTGAGCCACTTTGTGTGGGCCTCCACATCGGAAGCATTTGACTCCGGAGGTTCCCGCTCCTCCGGTAGGCTTCCCATCCTTGTAGGTCTTCTCGGTGGTCTTGTAGTATTGTCGGCTGAGTTTCACCTGGTGTTGTTTGGCTCGTGCTTCCCGGAGTGTTCGTTTTGCTTGATGCAGTGCCGTCATGGCCTCTTCTTCGGCCTCCACTGCTGCGGTCATCAGTGCGATGCCCTCATCGTTCATCCCATTGGCGATCAGAGCGGCCGCTGAGGTCATCTCCCCGTCGGTTTCTTCATCTTCGGAATCCTCCTTTTTCTCATGCCAAAACCCTGAGGCCCTGGCTTGCGGAAGCTGGTCTCGTCGAAGGAGGTCTTCTTCTGGCCACTGGGTTCGCAGTTCCTGCGACATCCTCTGGATGGTATAGGTTTCACCAATGGCCGTTTGGATCATGTTTCTTTCTTGTGCATTGAGTCCTGCATCAGCCAGCAGATACCAGGCTTGTAGGAATTCGGGTAGTAGTTCTTCTTCATGTACCCAGGCCTCGTGTTCATCCCGAGGTCCATAGCGTTGCCAAGCTGCCCAGGGGTCTGCTGGCGTCATTGCCTGTGAGGTCTGTTGGTCATCATGATCTTCATCTGGTCCTTCTTGTCCGGCTCCTTGGTGGGAAGTTGAAGTCGTCTCATGGCAGTCATGCCATCGATCGTACTGGTCATTGTCCTGCCAGGACTGCCATTGCGAGTGCTGCCACGTACTCCAGTTCGACTGACTGGATGTGCTTGAAGCAGTGGTGGGTCCATTTCTTGTTTTCTTGTACTGCTGAACACGCATGAGGGCTTGTTTGGCCCTTGCATACACCTCGGACTTCCTTGTGATGTAGTCGTTCATGGTCTCACCCTTCTTGCGGCTGCTACCCCGGAAGTAACGGTTCAAATGCTCCGTCAACTCGGGGATTTGAGGTCGCCCCAAACTCTTCCGGAGGTGTTGCATGAGGTACTCCACACCTTGAGCATGGGAAAGCCAGTCTGGGCGCTTGCCCACGATGAGTTTCCGTGCTGAACCTGACAGTTCGGAGATGAGTTTGGGCCCGCTCAAGTAGCGCTTGTGGTATGGGATTGACTGATCCCACAATAGAGACATCTCTTCATACTCCTGGAAGTATGCGGTCCCTGACACCTGGATCTTCTTCTCACAAGAGCCTCTCAAAGAGGCTCCGCTACCATGCGAGTGGTAGCAATGGTAGCCTCGACGTGCCCTAGATGGAGGTCTGGATGAAGTGCCGGATCGAAATTGCGGTGGCAGCGCGACCGACAGGAATCTAAAAGCTTTCTCACCCTCGAACCCCAACTCACGTGTCACGCACTTGTTGTACGTGTATGACATGCATCACTTGCATAATATATATATATGCCTACATTGACCCCCCTGGCACCACCCCAACTGATCGGCATATATGGCAGTCCCATGGAGCGTCTGGGAATTCCATCAGGTCCGAGGTCAGTGACGCGACCGCCCCAGGAGCACTGGGGGGGTCACCAGTGCTGCTGTGGACGTCGCTGCGGTCGCTGCGGTCTAGACTTGGGGTGGGCGTGACATCGCATCAGATCGGCAAAATAGCTACACTCTGACTCACTAACATGGAAGCGGAAAACCGCCTGTTTGTAGAGGAGAATAGTCATTCAACAGGCCATTGTCCACTTCCATGTTAGTGAGTCAGAGTGTAAAGTCCACCCTCATTTGCAGACTGTTGATGATATCTCAACCGCCCAACGCCCAACGTGTGTTTTATTCCCCAGTCTACCTACAAAACAAAATTAGATCAGCCAGGCTTCTGCACAGACTTCGCAGGGTTCGCCTGATTCCAATCAGCCACCAGCCCAGTCTCACAAACGACATAGACGATCAAGGATGAGGCGTCACACATATCCTCACTTGATCTCATTTGCAACTGTTTCGAGGTAAACTGGTCCACAAACCAGCCTAAAAATGTCGCGGCTTCAAACAGCAAATGAACAACAACAGTCACTAGGACTTCTGCATAAAAATGTCTGAATTTAAGGGTGTAAAGCTTTGGGCCGCTCAATCCCAATTGAAGGGTCTCCAAAGGTGTGGCAACCCAAACAGCCCAGAGATGTTGTTCAGGGGCTTGGATGTAATTGGCACACGTTCAGAAGGCCACCTGCACCAGCTAAACGGAAGCACATAACATATCTAAAAACCATTGTCTTAATCTCTCGTCAAAAACGCTGAGCGTTTAGATAATTCCAGTTCCAGCTCGGCTGAGATGCCACATCCATTCCCAAAGATGCTCCGGGATGCTTTTTGAGGACCACAGTCCACTCCTTGGCGATGGCAGGGAGGGAAAGAAGACCATCCACTATCATCCACCTGATCAGCCAAACCAGGTCAAGAGAGGTAGCCAGTGACCAGGTCACTAGGACCCGGAAAACCTGGGGACCCAACTAGGATAGTCGAACAGTCGGGTTCTGACCCACCTCTGGAGGTCAAGCAAGAGCTCCTGATTCGGACAGATCCGCAGCTGCGGATCTGAAGCAAGAGCTGAACGTCGACCCAGTAATTACCACTGGGATTTGCTTGAGGAACCTGGAACATATATTGACCCGTAGGGAAATAAGCAAATCACCTTGAGCAAAGCCGTGAGCTACTGTTTCAGATTACCGTGCAACATTGAATTGACCCATCATGGCCAAACTAGAATTGGTATTTATCATCAACGTGAACTCAGGAGCCACAACCGCCCAAACTGCGACCCATTTGATTCTTGGCTGGCTGAATCGCGCCTCACTCCCAGTTTTCGGGCCACTAAAAGAGACATCGACACACCAAGAACCTTGCTCTTCTCCCTCACATCCAACAGAGGTGGGTCAGAACCCTAGTTCGGCTATCCTAGTTGGGTCCCCCAGGTAGCTACCGGGTCCTATGTACGGTCCTGACCAACCTCTGTTGGATCCCAGGTCTCGACGACGACCGGAGCTGGGACCGCTGGTACACGACTGGGAGTATCTACTGCAACTCTATTAATCAACCAATCACCCCCAAAAAAGGACATCTATGGCCTGCTCAAGGCTGGGTGAAGAAAGTGGCTGGTTTAGTAAATCCATGTAAATCCCTTATAAGTACAAGCCACCAAACGGGCAAATCGAACCATCAAGGATCAATCCCTCAAACGTTCCATGGGACTGAATGCCGATCAGTTGACAGCTCAAAGCACCCCTGGCCCGATTGGGAGTCATATGCCCGTCTTCTGGAGTGTTTGGGTCATAGTTGGTCATAGCAGTTCCGAGCAACTCTCTTGGAGCTCTTAGCCGCTAGCTCTTTCAATCTGGCAGCATCATGGGGCGTCCTTGCCTGTGCTTCTCCACATAGCTGAGCACCCATGGCGTGGAAAAGATGGATCCCGATGATGTTGGGATGTGATGATTCTCCAGCAAACCAAGCGTGAACACATGTGAAAACCCATGATGTTGCCTCAGGGTATCTGGCCCTTACGTTGAGGGCCAGAAGATCAGTGCCCTTCTTCAATCAAGCAGAACCGCCGAGAATGCTTCGTCCTTGAGCCTGATTGCAATGGCTGGGAAAGTACGGAAAAAGGAATGAACTGATCCACCGATGGCAAGGGAGGAACTGTATCTCGCTGTGTCTTTCCGTACGATGAAGCTTTCCGGGCACCAAAAGCCTCTTCACCAAACGCCTAACCCAAACACTCCATGTATGGAATATATGCCTACATATGCCTACATTGGGGTGGTTTGGGGGTCAATATAGGCATATATTCCATACATGGAGTGTATGAGAAATGCAAGCCTGAGATTGCATGAGCTCCTAGGTGTTTCAAGCCAGCCCACGAATCCGATGTCGTCTTCGCAATCGCTGTGTTGCATCGGGTGCAACCCTCAAACCATCCCAGGTTCTGGCGGTGGGCATGGACCGATGAGCATTCTAAGTGACAAATCACAATGCCCCTCCACTTCCTAAGTCCTAAGTGGTTGAAATGGTTGACATGTGGAGCAGAACCCGGCCCACTGGTGCCTATGGACGGGTCTTATGGGTGTTATGGGTCTTGTGGTCGTCAACAAGGTCTTGTGAGAGCCAGAGCGGTGCACCACCCAAGCGTGTTCTTTTTTGCTGTTCTTCCTCCCTACCTTTCGAACTGAAGATCTACAGAGCTTGACAGCAAATGCGACAATCCCACGGTAGATGGAGAAAATGGAAAAGAACACAAAAGACCGTCTAGAAACTGGAAGGTCCATGTATTGAAGGAACATAATGACACATGTAAATACATGTATATAACATGTATGATGTATGATCAATTATGCCACATTTCAAAAAATGCCGCATGATGTGTGCGTGTGTATGCACAATCCCGCTGGGCAGACCAAAATCGCATCTAGCTACATGTGCCGCCCTCGGACACCACATGTCTGGCTACATGTGTCGCGCCTGGTCAATTCCGGCGCGCCCGTCAGGTGTGTGACTCTGAGCCAGGCTGCCATTCAAGGAAGACAACTCTATGGAGAAGGACCTAAACACTTGATAATGTTGACTCTTGATTAACAAACACACTCATATGAAGATACTATACAGCTCATGTCAGGGGCGGCTTTATCAATCAAGAGTCAACATTCGTGTGCCTTGAGGCCAGGACTAAAACTTGAACTGATACTGGAACAAGAATATGACCCCTGCCTTAAGTAGGGCCCTGGGGAGGCACCCCTTCCATTATTTAGTGGAGGGGCCATACAAGAATATGCACCTGCTCAAGTCCACAGGAAGCCTCATACATGTCCAACCACGGTCGAACATGGATCTGATCGCTTTTCGAAGCTCCAGAAGCTGCCCTGTCACCTGTGGCACATGTCTCCCTTTCGAGGCCGGAAAGCTTCCCCATCAAGTCTGTTCCCGGGGAAACCTTCAGCTCATTTCGAGGCAGTAAAGAACGACTTGGCCACTAGCCCAGCAAGAGTGATGGTGTTGAATGTCCGCTCCATGGCCTCCAGCTCCTCTGAAAAGAGGCACTCGGCCAAGGCCTGTAGGCAAGCT